AGACACTGATGATCCAGGCTAGTTCATAGGTGAATAGACAGCTGTATCGGGAACAGTCTTTTTGGCAAATGATCTAACCTGGAATTTCATCTGAGAGGTGACCATCTGAAATGGTTTTGTGGACCACTGGCCTGGCGTAATGGAGAAGTCTGTAGCCTTCAGCCTCTGATGCTTCTTACTAAAAAATCACCTTGAGTTATAATGGAAAAAGTGCTCTAAGGAGAAGAAAAAAAAAGATTTAGTCTCATTCTTCATTGCCTTTTTCCTTATATAAGTTTGCCCTGCCAATGTGTAACACTTTTATTTAGACCTAGCAACATTTTACATTCGGCTCATACAAGTGCAGCTGAATCTAGTTTGCAAAGTGGTGGAGAATTCTATCCCAAGAGGTCTAAAAGGAAAAGTACTAAAAATCTGAATGAAAATGAATGGTCAAGAGCTTTTATGCTGACAATGTAGGAGCACAAGCTCTCATTCCACTTCATGGCTGACGCTGAGCTCACTGTTATGCAAAGCTGATCGGCTTTGTTAGTAGAGCAGCTAATGGAAATCTGCCTTAAGCCAGGAAGGGTAAATTTCATTCTTTTTTGGCATGGCAGAGCTATACCAGAATGAAAGTTCTATTTGCACAAGATAACAATCAATGGGAGTTAAATCTGACATAAGCTGGATTTTAAAAAGAGTAATACTTACATAATTCAGACAATGGCAGCCAGTGATATTATGCTAGAAGTGAAGATCTTTCCATTCTACCTTTTGGTAGATAAGGAATTTGAACTTCAGGCCTATCTCTGACTGTTCCTGGTTCCACTGCAGTATCACCTTGTGAACTTGAGTGTGCCATTAATTTTAAAGACCAGAAGAGAGAATTTCATTCTCCCCCTAAAATCCTTAGCTAAAAATTCATGCATTAAACCTATACCTTTTATTTGAGATGCAAACTACTTACAAAAGCGTTATCCACTCTTGAGGTGAGGTTCAAGTGGTTAGGGGCATCTATATTATTTATGCAAAGGTGTCACAAAGTTATTCATTATCAAAACTACGTACTTTAATTCCAGTTTGAATTTGTCTTGGTTTAACTTCCATTGGCTTTCATTATACTTTTTTTTTTCCTTTATGAAAGCATAGTCTAATATCAGTATCTAGAGATTATATGCAGTCTGTGACAAATAATTTATCTGTCTTTCAGAAAAGTATTTACATAGCTAGTATAGTCTTTCCTCCTTTTCCATTCTCAAATCATTCTTCTTGTGCTTTTGTAAATCCTTTGCAATTTGTCTTTATCATTTTGAAGTAGGAATGTCTGATTTGGATTTGTTGCTTCAGTGACTGTTCACTGTTTCCAAGAGAAACATAACGCCAGTATCCCATAACTGCTTGATATTCTCTCCTTTTTGCATTCAAAGATCATCTTAGCTGTCTTAACCAGAATGTCATGCTGGGAGGTTCAGTGATTACCTACTGTGCCCCCTAACATGCTAAATCTTAAGACATGAATGAAATGTTATGCTCATCACGTGGGTCCATAGAAAGGACAGAAATGAGCTGAAATTTTTCCTCAGAATTGCATTGCAGCAAATGCAAGTTTTACTTCAAAGCATTACAGCTGTGGAACGTCTTCCTGTTTTGCTTTGAAATTAGGGTGGCCTTATAAAGAAGGCATTTTACCCTCTTATCCTTGCCATCATGTAAATTATAATAATCTGCTTGGTTTTTAACAGTCAGAGTGGGAGGGGATCCTCATTGGAACCAGTGGAATATTTACAGGGAAGTGGATATTGAAGTCATTAGTCTTTAAAAGTCGCTGAGGGAAGAAATGGTTGGACTCAACAATCTTAAGGGTCTTTTCCAACCTAAATGATTCTACAAACAGTTAATCTGACTTAGATCTGTTTTTCTCTTGATGCAGCTTTTGTTTGTGGCTTTGCTAGTGTTCCCATTTGCTGATAACAGCAAACAAACAAAAGTAAGCATGACGCACTTCACCGATATTTTGCTTTGCCCTCGCTGAATGTGAATGCTATGGAACATAGTTCACAGGTGCCTGAGCTAGGGCAGACAAGCATTCAGGCAGCAGAGCCGATTGCTGAGCAGAAACATTGGTTTGGGGGTGAAAAGCAAACTAGCTGCACTGGTGTTCTGCTTCATTTTGGCATATTGACTCAATACAGTGCCATGCCCCATGTTGCCTCTAATTCTGGAGCTAACACTGTCACAGCAAGCTCAGCTGTCTTTGTACAGTACTGTGTGGACTAAATGTGTCTCCTGCACTGTCTCATCAATTAAGTTCCATTTAACCTGCCCTTCAACTTGTCTAAGGCTTATTTTCTGAAGTTGCTCATCTAGCCTGCTCAGAGGAGCACAATCGGGTTTCTTGCTCCGCTCTATAAGTGAGGTCAAAGGTCAAGATCTTGCTTTACCGATTGGTGGAAGAAACTGCTGAAGAGTGAGAGCAAATGAAATGTGAGCGCTCTGTGACCTCAGTTTATAATTGCTAATAGACATGGAATTGTGTACCTTTGAAACAGCGTGCCAAAAGTCATGCAAGCATGTGCAAAGTAAAATCTTTCCCATTTCCAGAAGATGAAAAAATGAATACCAATGAAGAAATAAACACCAATATGTGTATGTGTTAAATGCGTTAAATGCTTTCATGCAATCAAAGAAATAAAAACTAGCAAGAAATAAGCCATAGAGCTTTGAACAATCCTTTTAGGAACCTTCCTCCCAGTAGTGCAGGAGGGAGTGTTTATCTACAGTTAGTGAACATGTCCCAGATTTAGTTTTTAATTACATTTTGTAAAGAATCCATTCTTGGTGAGAAAGGGAAAAGAGAACAAAAACCTTTTAAAGTTTCACCAGCTATTTGTTTGCTAGCAATTTTAAAAATACAAAGTCAAATGTATTTGAAAAAACTTGCATAGTTTTGACTGTGCAGTGGTACCCCATCCCATTTGTGTGTTTGCCCAGCATGCTAAAGAACTGTCCCATTTTGCATCTTTGGTACACAGAATGGTTGAACAATCATAATGATTTTTGGTTTTGTTATTGTTCAATATGCAGCTTCCTACCTTATTTATGACGTGTAATTAAGATTTCTGCTCTGAAGAACATACCTGTGAATTTCTTAAGAGCTGTTTTGCAGCATTCATCAGTGATATTTGAATGCTCCAGAAACATTAATTAGTTTACCGCACTCATATGAGGGGAGCTAGCTACATCATCCACGTTTTTTTAGGGAAGCTTTTATTGGAGTTAGCAGTACCAAGTACTTTATAACCTCAGAGCATAAGTCCAGTGGATTTCAGATGTAGATGTGAATGCTCAACACTTCGACAGATCAGACTCAAAGATATCAAGGTAGTCTCCCAGAAAAGGAGGAACACACAGTTAAGAACTGCATGTGAGAGATTTGGTTTAGGGTAAGCAAAGCATCATGCTAGAGATCCGTGGCACTCTTCAGGAGTCAAATTAATTCACCTTTATTTTTCTCTTCCTCTACCCTCCTGCCCTGTGCTTTTTCTACCATTCAACTTCTGTGACAAATGAGATTTACGTTCTAGAGAAAAGATCTTCTTTTGTGACATGGTTGTATTTCATGCACAAAAATTCTCATGGGGAATGTGGAAAATATGATATATGATGATACAACTAAAAAATGGTATCATAATGTATAGCATATTATGTGGTAAAGCATGTTTCCTAGCTTTTCTAAAAACCTCTTTGGCAAGCTTAGAAACTCTTGACTTACAGGATCATCAATACCAAAAGAAAGCATCTAGTTTCTCTAGAACTTTTCAGCTGAGATTTTTCAAGATTCCTTTTTTGGTCACATTAAGGTGCCATTTTCAACAGTGGAAGCCACTTTCCCGCCAGCAGTGTAACACCACTGCAAAATTAGAGTGCTCAGTAGATAAAAGCAGTTAAGTTTCTAAGCAAAACAGTTGTAAGATATCTGTATCTATATCTATACCTATCTAAGTAAAAATAAAAAAAAAATTTGCTTAAATCTTGTTCCCTGAAATGGTTCACATTTGCTGAAATTTCTTAAAATATGTTCTATACCAACCTTAAGCATGTACTCAGCATGAAAAGTCGCTGTCTAAATAGCTTTACTTCTAGCTAAGTTCTAAAGTACTAAAAGCAGCTAGCCGTGGCAAAGGTCAGATAGTCCTAACTATAGAAAGTGCTGTCTGCCCAGCCTATAATAATGGTTAAATCTATTATGGTCAATGAAGTTACAGAGTCAAATGCAATCAAAATCAGACTGTGCACCTAGCATTAGACAGTGATCATGACAGAGCTCATTGAGAGTCGTTGTCACTCTCCATGTAACTCACACAGTCTATTTGGTGCCCATGCTGTTGACCTTAGGAGGTCAATACCTCTGTTCCCAGAAGTGAAACATCATGTAAGACTAGGAGGATTGTCATTTAATTGTAATCATTGACACCCCATTAACATTATTCTTTTTTAGACTACATTGTAGAGATTTTGCAGTGGATATCATTAGTGAACATTCGAACTTTTAAGCATGGGCTCAATAGGTATTGTGCATTTTCTTCCCATCAGGATAACATAAGCTCAGTAAAGAAAGGGCTAGCTGCAAGGTTTAAAGATGATTTAGAAATACTTTGGTATTTGGGATGGTCTTATCTAGCAGTTTAACTTACATCTGCCTCTAGAAATTAGTGGAGTTCAAATTGAAGTAAAAGGAGCAGCAAATAGTAGTGGTGGAGTTGGAGGAAGAACATCTCTGAGTATCAGAAAATACCTCACTTTCTATTTTCTTTGTTCCCTTGGGATTTGTGACTGAGTCCTACCTCTCCACCACAACTCCATTTCTCTCTTGCCTATCCATGATTCATGCGATGCATAATCGCATGATTCTTATTCCCTGGGGAAACCAAACTTAACACGAGAGACCTTCTTGGTGGTAGTAAGTCTGATGAGCGTATCACACAGGTGTCTTTTTTGTTTGTTTTATTATTTAACAGTTTGACATTGACAAGGAAGCAGGAGAGAGACAGATTTACCATCGGTACTGTATGGAACGGGCATCTGTACATTGTGCCCACGTGTTCACCACAGTCTCACAGATAACAGCTATAGAAGCAGAACATATGCTTAAAAGAAATCCTGGTAAGACCTGAATTGTGTTCTTATATTTCCTCTGAGTACCTACATTTCCTCAGACTGAATGAAAATAATAGAGACAGGTATACAAACATGAAGAGCAAGAACACATGCATAGGTATGTCTGGCTACACTACAGAGAATAACCAATTTTCAAAAGAAAAGTGCAGATAATATCATTTGAAACACATTCTAGTAGCATACGTAATCCAGAGAAATCAAGTTCAGCACCATTTAATAACAGCTTTCAGTACCATTTCAGGAGAGCATTAGTTTAACTCCATGGATGTTAGGCTTTCTTTGCAAGGACATCTCAGCTTCAGGAGTTTTGTCTCTAGCAGGGTTTCCAATGATGGTTAATATATTCAGATCAACTGATGAAAGCAGAAGCTGGAACCTTTGTAATACATTTCACCAGCTTTTACAGAGTGAGGTTTGTTGCTTTGCTAGCGATGAGTAATATATTCTTTTAGAAATATAGCAAAAAGTTTCATGTGCAAAACAGAATGTTAGATGAGTTTTGCTTTCCAGTGCTAATGCTGTTTTTCTTTACTTAATATTGAAAGAGATGAGAAGGCAAAAATCAAACCATAAATCAATACAGTTCATTTCCCTGTATCTCTCACAGCTAGGAGTAGCAGTGTGGTTGTGGCCATCATGATCTTAGGACCTAACCATGATAAGTTTCATAGACAGATATAATATTTCCTATTAGACCAACCAGTACAATTTGAAAAAATAGTTATGTGCCAGTTTGTCTGATTTTCCCCTTTGTATTAGTCTGATAAAATATGGAACTTACCAACAAACCTTGTCGTGTTCCATGCATGGAGCTTGAATAAGGTCATGATCCCAGTTTGATGTGTCATTAAAGTTCTTTTTAAATCAGCACAGTGCTTTGTAAGGACAAGCCACAATACTCCATCTGCAGGTAAGCATCATGGGGCAAAAACTGCAAAACAATTTTGAGACTATTTAGCAGGTGTGTTCACATCTTAGTTGGTTATTTTAAGTATAGCAATGCTCAAATGACTTTGGGGTTTTTTTGGTTTGCTTATTCTTTGTAGATTTTTTTTTTAGGTGAATTGCAGTGCTAATTACAGCTTGGGACCATTATCCCTGTTAACTTCAATGCTTTAAGCCACATTGTGGTTCATGCATCAGCATAAAAGAGAAGTTGTCCATTGGATCCTTTGCCTCATTCCTGACTAACTATCAATAGGATGATGAACTTAGAAGATTTTTTCCTTTTTATTTTAAACATGACAGCCATGTCTTAAAAGTGATTCAAGTGTTCAGTCACCTAATCTCGGATATCTCTGAAAGGTCTTGTTTTTTACCACTTGACCACTTGCCACAGAGGCACTTGACATCTGAAAATCAGACTTTTCAAGCTGTTTTATGTTGGCATTAGGCTTCTCACCACAACAGTTACTCTTGAAAATCACAGTTTATATTTTGGGATTTTAGGAGACTGAAATGAGTCTGAGTCCAGTTTAATTTGGGAGTGAAAATCTGCAGACTGCTCACAGATAGAATGTCAGTTGAAGCTGAAGAGAATTCCGTGCAGAGATTCACAGGCCTGAGCTTTTTTTGATTATTCTTGCGACTTTGAAGAAATGAAGTGAATAATGTTTGGGTTAAAAAATTGTTGACACATACCATGCTTCATGTTGACAGAGCCAGAAAGAAATTCAATAGGAATTGGTACCCCAAATCCTAGGAGACAATTATAAGTGGAAACTATGTTCTGATGGGAATAAGTACTTTAATAGTTTATTTGAATCTTAGACCACAAATAAACTGCGTAGGAGTCTATTCTCATACTATTTGTTCTCTCAGAAGTTGTGAAATCAACATAGACATTGGCTGTTCAGAAAGATCAGCTATCCTTCAGTAGATCATTAAGCTTGAATTCTGCAAAGAAACGTGAGTACTGAAAGAATTTGTACACTTCTCAATCCACTTCAAAAATAAACTTTTAAAAGGGGGATGTAGAATTCACACAATTAACTTTTATTTGCATTTGAATTTATTGAGAGGTAAACTTCATAACAAAGTTGCTAAGTAAAAGTAACTGAGGAAATGTGATAAGTAGAGCAGTCTTTGCTACTTCTCATTAACGTTAAACTTAGATTATAAATTAAATTATAAATCTCATCACTTGGAAAAGCCCCTTTAAAATTCAGTAGACATGATTGCATAGAGAGCTTTTGCACCAGGATGAAGGCCGTTTTGCTTGTCTAAACCTGGCAGAATGACTGCTTGCATTACGCTGATCTTGCTGCTGTTGTTATTTCATCAATAATCTATCAAACCATATTTGTCAAAAGCTTGAGTATCTAATGTTGAACCTGTTCTCTTTGATGTACCATGCAAGATTCTGTCCATGATCACAAGTTATCTTCCCATGATTTGAAAACTGATATGGGATTTCTAATATTTTCGTTCAGATATGAAACATATTTCTCGTTAGCAGTAGAGAAGACTTTGAATCAAAATTCCAAGAGACTTAGGTATCAGTTAAGATCATAGATCATAGAATAGTTTGGGTTGTGTTCTCTTTGATGTACCATGCAAGATTCTGTCCATGATCACAAGTTATCTTCCCATGATTTGAAAACTGATATGGGATTTCTAATATTTTCGTTCAGATATGAAACATATTTCTCGTTAGCAGTAGAGAAGACTTTGAATCAAAATTCCAAGAGACTTAGGTATCAGTTAAGATCATAGATCATAGAATAGTTTGGGTTGGAAGGGACCTCTAAAGGTCATCTAGTCCAACCCCCCTGCCGTGAGC